TCTAATTCCCGAAGAGAAGCTGTTAGTCAAATGTTTACATTGTGTTTCATTTCCTTCACAGTAGTTTTTTGAATTCCTGCCTTACTCTTAAAACCCAGAACTACCTTTAACCCGCTTTTGGAGAAGTGAGGTGATAAAACCTATTTGGAGTTAGCTGTTCTGGGGGAAGGGCCAGAGAGCCAGTAGCTGTAACTTTTTAAATGCCTCGCAATTGCTAGGAGGAGATAGGGAGGGAAAAATTGACACTGGGGTCGTACCAAATGTACTTGAGTGAGGTGCAGCACAGGCTGGAGGGGTGCGTGGGGGCAGCGTGGGGTGGAGGTGAGTGCTCGGTGCTGGCTGGGCAGCGGGGAGTGGGTGAACATTGGGGCTGGCAGCCAGCAGCTCCTAGCAGCCCGTGCCATGCGGCTCCCACTTGGTGCTGGGCTTCAGCGTCCTACAGAGCTGGGGATCCAAGTGCTTTGTGCTGGTGGCCTTCACAGGCTGTTACGGGTGCCTGAAGACTTGCCAGGGACAGTCTTAGAGCATATTTTAAAGGTCATTATTAGCCGTGTTTCATGTTCTCCCTTAAAAGCAGCCCTGCAAATCGGTGGGGGTCCCCAGGGGACAGCACAGGGTGAGGGGTGCAGGCCCTGCCCGAGCTGACCCCGCTGCCACCACCCCTGCAGGAAAGGATCCCAGCTCCCAGCCTGACGCTGGGGTGGCCCTGGGAGCACAATGGGCTGCATGGTACCGAATGTCTTTGCTTCCTGTCTGAGCCTAGAAAATAGATTAAATGCTCTTCTGCTACCCATGAAAACACGCTCTGTAATTGCAACAGAAAATACTGTAATAGGAAAGGGAAGGGAGTTGGTCCCCACAGTCGTGACCTGGCTGTGAAAGGAATCAGCTGGGTGCAGCGGGCTGAGCTGAAGTGTGGGGAGAGTGCTCGCTTACAGCTAAGTGAGTTTGTGGCTCGCTTGTACCCCCCCCGTGTGTAATTTCAGGAGATTTTGGAACACAAACCACTCTCAACTTCATTTGGTTTTGAGTTCTTGTTCTTTCCTGCAGTGCTCCAGTGATTTGTGGATGGGGGCAGGCAAGGAAGACCCTTTGTGAAATCTCCTGTTAAACAGGCTTTCCTGTTTGTCCAGAAGATGTAGAAAAACACTTCTTGTTGTAGAGCAGACAAAGGAAGACAAAAATGGTGTACCTCCAGGTTTAAATTCTCCAGTACTGGATATTTTGTTCTATTTGTAGTAGCTTCAGTCTAAATTTATATTTTTCTCGTTTCCACTCCTACAGTCATGTGGCATCTGTTGCTCTCTTTTGACTAGCTGGTCAGTGCACTTGAGTTTCAATTTGTGATGAAATTAGTGCCCATTGCTGTAATTCCCATGTATTTGTGGCAGCTAACTGGAGTTTTAGCTATTTTAAGGGAAATAAGAACCGTACACTGCTGGGATGCGTATTTTGTATTATACACTTGGATGTCCTGTTGGGAGAGAGGAAGCAGAATAAAAATCATGTCTGTAGACAGATTATAGGATTGAGGTTATTCCGTGCACAGTATATGATGCCCTAAATAGGGCTGAATCATAGGCAAAAGCAAACTGTCACAGCACACGTGCACCAAGACTTTTTTTTATAACTAGACACTGAGTTTGCTGTTTCTATAAATGTCTTTCCACCCTTGTCCTCAATTACATCAACTTGCATCATCTGTGCCTGTTGTGTAGGAACAATTACCAGCTTCTCAGTATTCATTGCTGTTTTTTTCCTTTACTAAAACTATTAGTTGGTAGATAATATAGAAATCTAGTGGAGCTGAAAAAAAGTCAATATGCCACATGAAATTTGTAGGAAAATGCATTTCTCAATATCCATTGTCATTTCTGCGTAAAAAGAGATCGAATACCTTGATTGTTGTACTGTTGATACAAGTTTTAAGCGTTGGCCCTGCCCTCGTAATGCTGTTATGAAAACAGCCGTGTTTCCTAGCTCAGCACTTGGTGCTTGTCATCCTTTAAGGGGATGCAGTTTCCATTTCGGAACATCCTATTTGTGTCACGCAGCCAGTGCAGGTGTCTGTCAAGCGAGCTGGTCTCCTTCCGTGCTGCCAGGCCAGGAACTGGCAACTTGGGAAACAACAGGGCTGGCCCAGGGGCACAGGCAGGGTTTGTGCATTGAACTTGAACCTCTGCCTTGTCTGTTTATGTGGAATAACACCGTCCTGTGTGCTCGGAGCCCGGAGTACCGTCTGCGGGTACTGAGGGGGTGCTCTGTGCTATAGAGCTACCGTGTTTATTCGCTAGGTGGATCTTGCATTTGGACATGTTCAAGCAGTCTCTGGCTTATGTCAGCGTGATGCCTGTGAAGAAACTGGGCGTTTTAGGTGTACAGTGTGAGCTTCAGTACCAGGTGGTTGGAATGTGTGAGGAAGGTGGGCTTCTTGCCTGAATCTAGCTGTGAGGAAGCACTCAGGCCATAGATCTTACCCACTAATTTGTGTCAGGTCCAAAAACTTTTGGTCAAATTCAGATCCTTTCTGAAAGACAGGGCAAACCAATAGGTCTGCTGCTCCCCATGATAAGCTGTTAGTGTTAATTACAGGGCGGCTCTATTTTATTATTATTAGTTGCTATTTAAAGTTTTCTAGAGAAAATTATCAGGTATCGCATCTTACTGTGCATACTCCTGTTCCTTCAGAAGCGATTTGTCTAAGGTGGGATCTGCCTGTATAAACACATGCATCTTGATCCAGCTCTTTAACTTTTTTTTTTATACCATAGTGCTTTTGCATATTTTAACTACACAGTTTCTCTCATATTTTCTTAAGGATGAATATTTCTTCCCCTTCCTGTTTCAGCTGCTAAACGTGAAGCCATCCTTGTTGCCATCTCTCCTGCTCAGCACTTTCTAGGTTTTTGAAACTTCTACATCGGAGTAGAAGCACTTCAGTAGTGATCTGTCCTAGTGTGACTTCCTTAAAATTACTGGGATCTTTGGGCACGCGGGCATGAGCATGATGCTTGTATTGGCAGCCAGGTAATAGCTAAATGCTTGTCAGAGTTTTTCCGTATCCCATTTCCCTGTTCTGCAGGTATGACTTACCTGTTGTTGACCAGGGTTTTGACAGGGGGAAAAAAAAAAAGTTGCAGGTGCCTAATTTTGTAGGTGACTCATATCACTACACATGAGGCTTGTCCTCTGTTATTTGCTGTTCCTTTAATCTTTCATGCTCCCTTTATTAGTAATTTTCTGCCCTCTGTCAGATGAATGACCACTGTAATGATGATTTCATGTACGGTGTGTGTGCCTCTCGGGGTCCTCTGGGGGATTTCATCTGTCCTCAGGCTGCTCTTGGTGGCCAGGTGAGCGCTGCTGGCAGCACCCAGCTCATCCAGACCCCTTTTTGGGGAGGACACAGCTGGGGCTGGGCAGTTGCCTGCCTCCCTCTGTACCCCCGTGGCTGGCACGGAAAAAGGGGTGGGGGGAAGTCTGTAGGGATGGGGGCTTGGATAATGACCTTGGCTCCCTGGCAGTGGGCTGGCTTCTCCCGGGTACCTCGTGCAGATCCCTCCAAATAGTCTGCAAGCCCTGGGGTCTGGGGAATACAAGCCCGAACTAGGCAATCATGGACATGCAAAAGCTAGTTTTACATACTTTGCAATTTGCATATGCAGGTAATTAGGCATTTAATTGGAGTTTTTGTTTAATACGTCCCTTATATGGATTTCTCAAGTCTGTCTTGCCATGCTTGCTAAATGCCCTGGTATTAGGGAATGAAGGCAACAAAAAAATAGACTCCTGAGTCCGGTTTTCTCCAAGAGGAAAGGTATTTATCCATGGTAATCAAAACAGGAATAGAAATGGAGAAAAGTGGGACTTGGCCTGTCCATCTTGGCAGTTTTGTGTCAGTGGACGACACAGGGCACATGCTAAAATTGTGAAGATGTCATGTGCCTTTCTTCCCCATAAGCATAAAAATACAGAACCGCTGCCAGCCTTGCTTCCACCTGCTTTATTTTGCTACTCTTAAAATAGACTTTGAAGTCAATGTATTTTAGCTTCCTCTGAGGAGATCTTGCTGTAACCTCTTCAGTAACTAAATCATTTTGATCCTTGAGCGTTTCCAAGCAGAGGGGGAATGGCATGGCCTGGTTGGAGGCTGTTGGAAGGCTGTGTGACACCCTTAAGCTGGGGGGAGCAGGGTGCTCTACAGGCTGCCATGAAATAGGGGCCTGTGCATTGTGCTCCGCAGGAATCGGGTGCCAGTGTAACTCGTGAAGAGCAATGACAGCTGCTGCTTTGTTTACAGAGACTTGTTGAGTTTTAATTCTTTGTACAAGTTGAGACTGAGCATTGTACAAAACAATGAATATTCTCTACGTTCCTCCTGAACCTTTTCTATGTTTGAAAGCTGTTACTGGTAACTATAAATGGCCTTCTCTTAAATAACCTCCAGCTCTCAGCTAGAGGAACTCTCAATAAAAATCTTAAAGAACATTGTGTCCCACTTCTCCTAACAGAAGGAACTCTTACTATTTTTTTTTGCTATTCATTTTTTTAATGTACTATATGATGTATCGTCTTCCCTTTCTATCTGTCGTATGATATTAATGATGCCAAGTCATACTGCCGTTAGGCTGCTTCCGTTAGCACTCAGGAAGCCTTTTTCTTTCAGAAAAGCTGTAATGCAGCCGTGGATCACAACACAAACACTTGTTTCTTGGCACTGGTGAAGTCTGGTGACTTGGCCGGTTACTACATGTAGCTTTCTTTAGAGAGTATTTGTAATTTTATCTGCTTGCAGTGGCAAGTTATGGGCTGAGGCCGTTGGTTTGTTTTGGTGGTGTGATCCTTTAGGTGCTAAGGGGAGGACAGTCTGCCTGATACAAACGTCCATTTTCCATACCTCTTGTTTGAGGTATAAATTGGAACAAACTGCAGGGGCAGCAAACAGTCAAACGCTTGTTATGCAATAGGTGATGTTAATGTTTGTCTCTTTGAACTGACAGATACTTTAGATGAATACTTCGAGTATGAAGCTGAGGAGTTCCTGGTCTCCTTGGCCTTGCTGATCACTGAAGGTCGAACACCTGAATATTCGATAAAGGGCAGAACAGAGGGCTTCCACTGTCCTCCAGCACAATCGAGTCAGCCCCCAACAACTAAGCATGAATGCAGTGACAGAGTGGCTCAGGTATGATGGTACCCATTTCATCGCAAGTATTGTGGACTTTGTTCTTGCTACCGTGATCAAAATCAGATGAGAAGTCCTGGTAGATTCACAGCTAAGCACGAATAACAATTACTTTGTGACAGTTCTGCATTTAAACAAGTCTGTACTTTAGTATTATACTAATAATAGATCAGATCTGTCCTTAAAATGAAAGATCATTAAGCCTTTTATCGTTGAACATGAAATTCTGCAGACTACCTGAATGCAGTACCTATTTCAGCCTTTGTTATGCAAATTGCAAGCGCTATACTTAGCATTCTTGTTCTTATTTTGAGAAAATGTAGGCTGACTTGCCTAACTTTTTGATCTTCCAGGTGGTATTGAAAAGTTAATGGTCCAAAAAGCAGGAACACCGTCAAATCTAGCCAGTCTCTTTTGGGTTAAGGCTGGAGCATCCCATCTCTCAAGTAAAAAGTGTATGATTTTACACTGTTATTCATGCAGAAGTTAGCCTGCTCAGAACCACAATGTTTCTTAAGATGCTGCTGAAGGTGACTTGTGGAGAGAGTAGTGCAGCGTATGGTAGTTGGAGAAAATGGATGTGAGCTCTTTTTATGCAGTTGCTCAAACAGCAGCCATAAATGATTTGTTACTTTTTCATTTAATACTCCAGTATTTACCTCTGATTTGATGAAACTTAGCCTTCAGAACTTGATCCTTACCTTTTTCCAGTTCTTTGGAATACGTCTTAAAAGTAGTTTTAAATGTGGCTACTATTTTCATGGCTTGCATTTATTCCCTCAGTGTCGTCAAGCCAGGCGAACCAGATCTGAGGTTATGCTGCTGTGGAAAAACAATATTCCGATCATGGTAGAAGTGATGTTGCTTCCAGACTGTTGCTACAGCGATGAAGGGCCTAACACTGAGGGGAGTGATTTAAATGATCCTGCAATCAAACAAGATGCATTGCTGTTAGAAAGGTGGATTTTGGAACCAGTTCCTCGACAGTAAGTTGGATGTTAAGATTAGTTGATAATTGCAAGAATCTTGTCCTGTAAATCTCTTTAAAGTAGCTGGCTACTGTTTTGGAATTGGCCTTTTACTTTTAGGACTTCAGGATCTGACCAAATCACTATTTACTAGTGAAATCTGAGCATCTTTTAATCTTACTCTTGCTGTATCCATAATTTCTGCGTTGTGCAATGCAGAGTATGTAGTGTGCCTAGCTGAAAATGGTCATTTTTATATGTGGTCTGTTAAGTTGTATAAAAGTTTATACAGGTAGGAATAAATCAGGCTGTGTAGTCTTCAAAATGTTTGGAATTTCATTGTTTTCTTTGACTCAGCCATGTTTTATTTTCAGAATGAAAATCTGTAAATATATTATTCCAGTATACAATACTGTGTTCCAGTATTTAATGCAAAATACTTTAACAATACATATGTATAATATATATAAAATAAAGTATATTTTTAAGACTGTATTTCCTACAAGATATTTAAAAACACTTGACCTACCCGACAGCTAAAAGTATAAATGGAGAAAGGGAAGAGGACAGCAAGAGATATTGTTGTGAAAGCTTAGTTTTAATAGTATTCTATGTTCTGGTTCTCTTAGTTCGCTCTGTATATTCTTAACGTCTCTGTGCTTCTCTTAATGCATTTTAGAAGTGGAGATCGATTCATTGAAGAGAAGACACTTTTACTGGCTGTTCGCTCTTTCGTTTTCTTCTCTCAACTGAGTGCATGGCTGAGTGTTTCACATGGTGCTGTTCCCCGTAACATTCTGTACAGGTATGTTTGAGGAGCAAGTTCTGTTTGCCAGTTGTTGCAACTCATCTTAAAACAATTCTTCCCATCTGTTCTCCTCTTTGTTTTCAGAGGGTGCCACATCGTTGGCCCAGCCCTCTGGTGGTTGTGTATAGTTCGTGTACTTTGCAAAGTGTGGTAGCGTGTTTCTATAAATGCTCTTCTGTATTGTTTCAGGGTGAGCGCTGCAGATGTGGACTTGCAGTGGACGTTCTCCCAGACACCAACTGAGCACGTGTTTCCTGTTCCTAATGTTTCTCACAATGTGGCCTTGAGAGTCAGTGTCCAGTCCTTGCCCAGACAGTCGAACTACCCAGTTCTGACTTGTAGTATTCACACCAACCTTAGCTTTTACGAAAAGCAAATGCAAGAGCGTAAGTTACATCAGCGCAGTGAATCCAGTGCGGCAGAGCAGTGCAGTACCTCCAGTTCACAGCGTGTCTGTGGGAAACAAGCGTGGACAATGACACCTGAAGGCCTACTTAATGTAAAAAAGACACCCGAATTTACTACATCTATCAGAAATTTAAAGCTTTATCCATCTACTGGCCTTGGATCTGACTGTGGGGCATCACAATCTAAAGTTCAGTGCTATAATGCTACAGCAGACAATAAGACACAATCTCATGAAACAGCTGTCAGAACTTTTAAAACCTTTTCTTTAATTGATTCCCGTGTTACAAATGGTCATTGCTCTCATCAGCCCACCGGAGAAATCAACCCTTTAATAGGCTCTTTACTTCAAGAGCGACAAGAAGTCATCGCAAGAATTGCTCAGCACTTGATTCACTGTGATCCAGCTACTTCACCGGTTGTTGCTGGACGTCCCTTCAACCTACGTGAAACTGGCTCAGCTATGCCAAAAGCTTTTCGGAGTACTTACGAAGATGAAAACTTGCTTAAGAGAGGCAAGGAAACCTCCCCTGCTTCTGTTGCCAACTTAGATAAAGCAATACAAGAAGATGGCGGTGAAGGCAAAACCAGAGCAATACCAGAGATCCCAAGGCTCGATCCCCGTGCTCCAGTGAACCACTGTGGCCGTCCCTCTGCAGGAGAGGGAAACCCTCTCATCGATTCTCTGCTTCAGGAGCGGCAGGAGGTTATAGCAAGGATTGCCCAGCACTTGATTCATTGCGATCCAGCTACTTCTCATGTTGCGGGACGTCCATTCAAAGCATGTGAAACTAGCCCAGTTACTTCAAAAATTTTCCGAAGTACATATGAAGATGAAAATTTGCTGAAGAAAGGCAAGGATCCGTCTTCTGTTTCTTTTGCTAAATCCAGTTTTTCTTTGCTAGAAGACAGCAGTAAATCAAGGACAAAAACACCTGATACTCCTAGCAGTACTTCTAGGTTTGATGGTGAATCGAAGGCTTCTCTGAAACTCCAAGCAAGAAGAAAATTGATTTTAGCAAAACCTAATGAAGCTGTCCGACACGCATTTCATCAGACTTCAAATAAGACTTCTCATTTATTTACTAATATGCACACATCATCATCATGTGTTAAAGAAAATAAATCTGAATTGCCAGAAAAATTGGAAATAATACATTCTGGTTATGTGCAGAAAGACCAGATAACCAATAGAATTAAACAGTGTTCAAATTTTAGCAGCATTGATGAACAGATTTGCACAAACAAACTTAAAGAAAGAACAGTTGTTAGTGAGAACAACAACACGGACAGTTTTAACAATTTACAGATAGATAAATGCAGAATACTTGAAGGTACAAAAAAAGCATCTGTGATGCAGGCATCTGACTCTTTGCACAAGAATGAGCTCAAGTGTTTAGATAAAGACTCGAAAAAAACAAATATTTATGAGCAAAATACTCAGCTTATTAGTATTGAAAATTATTTAAATAAAGACCATGACAGTTTCAAAAATAAAAACAAACAAGAGAAAACAAAAACTGCACATGATGAGAATGAAGACCCAGTAGGCCTTGATTTCCAAAGCACTTCTCAGAAGAAATCTACGGAAGACAGCTCAGTCAGGTGTGAGCGACTGAAGAACCCAGATATGCAGGTAAACAGGGACACAAAGAGCAATTCCTTTAGCTGCTGGCTGTTGTGTGGCTTGTAACTGCGTCCCGTATCTGCTGGGGGTGGTAGGAGGAAGGGTTTACGTCTGAATTATGTGAAGCAGCATGGGACTGTTGTCTGCTTCAAGGTCTGAAGTGATGTTTGGCCTAATGGTGCTCACCCATCCTTCATTATAAATTTATAAATTTAACATCAAGAACAGCATTGTCTTGTTCTGCTCATTGTGATAGCATTAGAAATGACAGGTTCTGTAGGCAGTTAGACATCCTGTATAAACGTGCCAGTGTCTGAATGTGCTGTGTGGTCATTTGAAAGTCTGTAGTGATTGTAGATTGAGTCAAAGAGAACTTTTAGTAAAGCACCAGTGCGATGCAGATTCACTGGCTGCAGAAGTCTTCTCCATTAAAGCAAGTGAGTGATAACTTGATAGGCCATTGAAATAGCCCGTTAATATCTTGAGTCAATCTGTTTTGCTGGCAGAAAGCACCATCTCTAAAACACACAAATATATGGCGGAAACACAACTTTCGATCCTTGGATGGAACTTCAACCAAGGCTTTTCATCCCAGAACTGGATTGCCTCTACTTTCAAGTCCTGTAAGTTATTGTTGAAGCTGCAACTTAATTATGACTTAACTTGTAACTGAGAAAGGGGGTATTTTATAATTTTACTATCTGCATTACAGAAGCAAGATGCCTAGGTGGCATTTCTGGTTACTTAGTGTTAGAGTGATTAGTTTTGCAGGTGGAAACCTGAGAGTTAATAAGTGAGTGAAGTTGAAGAATAAGTGAAGAGTTCTTGCATTCTCAAGACTGACAAAAGGTTACATCAAAAATTCTATGGCAAGCAGTTCTTTGGTGATATTTTAGAGTACAAAAAGTATTTTGAAGCTTATTGTTTTAAGTGTAAGCTAATGCTTTGTCACTTAAGAGATTTTGTATGAGTTATTAATACCTGGTGGCTTATTATTCTAAAGCTTTTGTTTCTGTGAACAGCCTGTACGGTGTATTTCTCAGCATCCAGAGGTGTCATTGCATGACTAAGTGACACAAGACAGCTGTGATAATGCAGGAAGGCGTTGTTACAGTTCCTGGAATGTTGTTTGGGACTTCTAAGGAAAAGGCAGTATGGATTAAAGCTGCCGAAGCAGTGATCTTTTGTAATCAACGTACGATGTGTTTCATTCTTTAGTGTTTATAAAGGATGTGGTATCTTCAGAGAACTCTGATGGAAATCACTGGAAATCATAAATATTTGTTTATTTTTGATGCTGTGCACTGCTGCAAAGAGATGTTCAGCCTGTTAAATGAGCTGGACAGTGATTTGGGGGTAGAATTATTTTTTCTTGCTTACCTCGCATCCTTTCTTGGAAGCTCCTGACTGTTTACGTTGATGAGATTTTTATTTCATTTTTGAAAGTTCTGTTTATCAGAATTTACAGTCTTTAATTTTGGTATTTTCTTCACTACATTTAGAATGATGCTCTTCTCCTTTGTTTTTGATTTTGTAATGTCATGAAAATTCCTGGCAAACTTGTGCTTACTTGCCAAAACTTTTTTTACTGGAGGTACAGTTTTCAAATTAGCATATTATTTCCCTTTTGAGGTTCCTCAAAGAAAAACACAGTCTGGGTGCTTTGATCTGGATTCATCGCTGCTGCAGTTGAAATGTTTGTCTGCAAGAAGGTACATTTTATTTACCAGAAACTTTGAGAGTTTTTTTTTTTTAGAAATGGAACACACATATATATCTGTATGCAACAGCAAGCACATTAGCAAATACGAAATATGGGTGTAACATAAGAATCCTTATTTTGAAATAACTTTTAAAAGTTTCATTGCAATTATGTAGACAGTAGATTTCAACCCTTAGTGTGTTGCATCAGTTGATGGATTTTTTTCATGATTCCAAATTTTCATATGTTAAACTAAAATGACTGTGTATCAGAAGCAGGTAATCTCTAATTTTACTTTTATTTTTGATTGTTATAAAAATTTATTTTTTTTTAAAGTCTAGATTTGGCTATTTTGTTTCTCTGCAACATGGAGTCATTGCAGAGCTGTCTCACTGGCCGACTAGAGGGGACTATGTCTGTGGCATGAGAAGTGCTCATGTGGCACCAGGCTGGACTGTGGTAGATAGTCTCCATGGTCTTTTTAAGATGCCTGTTGAAATCTTTTGTCTGAAAGCCTGCTTCATGACTGTGAGATGGCTGTGGCTTGCTGTGGCTCTGGCTTCTCCACAGCAGGGCAGAGTGGATGCTGGGTCCCCTCGGCCTATGGCTTGTAGCCAAATTTCTCCTTTGGTCCCCAGATCAGTGCAGCTCAGGAACAAAACCCAAGTATGATGTAAGATACACTGGAATATTCAGCAGAAAAGTTTCTGCATTCTGTGAAAAAACATTTTTTCAAAACAGTGTAATTTACGTGTGAGTAGAGTTGATTGGGTTAAACATTTTGCCTTTATTTGCTCCGAGAACCTTTAGAAAGGGACCAGTCATGACCATTTATATGTTATAACTTAAACAGCTTCAATATGGTAGTTTGGAAACTTCAGGATATGAAACAAATAACTACATGTGGGAGGGAGTTTTCTGTTATTTTGTTCAGTTCCTACTAGTGGAGTTAATGAACAATGTAAATCTGTGTTGTCTGTATCTCTTTTAATATAAAACTTGTGAAAGTATTTCTCAGTTACCTAGAAAATGTTTTGCAAAGGTATTAACAGGCTGTTACTGCTTTAGGACAATATTTTGTAATACAATAAGTGATTCTTTTTAGAGCTGGTTATACCCAGAAGACAAAAGCAAATGTCTTCATCCATATGTTTATTCTCCTTTTTTTGATAGCCCACAACAATGTATAAACAGAGACAGTGATCCAGAGAGCCATGGGAAACCATTTTTAAGTTCTAGCGCTCCACCAGTAACAAGTCTTAGCCTTCTGGGAAACTTTGAGGTAATGCATATTCTCTAGAAGTCTTGTGGTATTTTTATTACTCTTCTGTACTGCTTTTTAAGAGTGCATTGCTGTGGATAATTCCAGCCTGACTACAGTGTAAAAGTTCGTAATTAAATTGAATGAAATTTGTTTTAATTTCCATCTATAAAGGCATGTATTTTGCTCTGCAGACGTCTCTCTCAGATATAAGCAACTCAATCTCTAATTTTGTAAGTTTTAATTCTCACAGTGGTTAAGTTGGGAGGTTTTCTGTTGGCTTAAGAGATTTAACAACTGGTTATTGTTTGTGTTGTAGTATATATACCTAGAAAAATGGATTCATGCTTTCATTCTTAAAACTTACTCAGTATGTCACTAAAGCTAGGTGACATCAGTGTAGTAAAAAATGTATTTAAAGTGTAGCCTCCAGCTTTTGACTTCATGTTGCATATCATGTGTCAATGCCTAAAGCACTTATGTGTTGCACAGTATTTCATGAAATATGGAGTGAATACATTGAGTAAAGTCCCAGATTAGTTTATTGTTCTTTCACATATAGTGTATGCTAAGGAAAGGCACACATAGATCCTGCTACAGTAAAACTCTGTGGGCTTTTGCACAGTTTTCAGGAGGACTATGATAAGATTTTCCTGATGCTTTCTCTTAGACCACTGTCATCTTGCTGAATGTTCCCCTGTTCGTCCTAATTTTTGCCTTTTTGCCACAATTTTTTGGTAGGTCACCTTATGAAAGAGCTAAGACCAAGTTCTTAGAAAAACTTGTCTTAATTTGCTGCGTGCATAGTCTTGCTATATTTTGAATCATTCCCAACCTAAGCTGTATGTGTTTTGTTTTTCAGGAGTCTGTCTTGAATTTTCGCTTAGACCCGCTAGGCATCGTTGAGGGTTTTACAGCAGAAGTGGGAGCGAGCGGAGTCTTTTGTCCCACTCACATGACTCTGCCAGTGGAAGTGTCATTCTACAGCGTTTCGGATGATAACGCACCCTCTCCTTACATGGTAAGTGTATGGTCAAATGTATTTTTTTCTGTTTAAACCATTAGGCTGGAACAAACCTCACACGAGCTTTTCAGGTGAACTTGTCTAACTTATACTTTAACATGATAATCAAACGTGTTTCTGAGATGTTTTGTAATTACCTTATCATCATACATAAACTACCCAGAGCAATGCAGAGTTTCTCAGCTGAGCAGGTACATCTGGGGTAGTAGAACTTGGTGAGAATTTTTTTCCCCTCATCCTCTGGCACAGCAAAACCCTGTGGTTTTCACAGGCAGCTGGCTACAGGTTGCAGAGGCATTAAATTCTGATAGGTGGAGATAGGTGAGTGAAGAGTTCAGGGAGTGAGGCTTTGGAGGGATCTGGGGTATTTCCAGCTGCTTGTGATCCAGTTCTCTTCCTTTCCCTTCTCCCTTTCCCCACCTAGTGCTTTTTCTCCCATTGCTGTGCCCCAGCATCCAGTTGCTTTGATCATGGGATATTGAATGTATTTGTCTGTCTCCACAATGGAGTGATCAACCTCCACTAACTCTTTTTATCCAACATACTTAAAATAGACAGTGAGGCAATAGCTGGAGTACAGGATACGTTTTGGTTATAGGATACATTTTGTTGTCCAAATAAGCTGCTGTCCAGGGCAGCTAACTGCTTCGCCAGCAAGTGGCTTAGGTATAGGCCAAGGTTCAGTTGTGGATGGAGACTTTAGACTCCTTGTCTAAGTTGTTTAGTCCTTTTTTTTTTTTTTTTTTTTTTTTTTTTTTTGAGGAAATGTTGTCGCAGCTACTGTGACATGTCACTCTCACAGGCTGCTTGGTTTGCTGGTGTTCACGCTGGCACAGTAGTTTTGTTCTTGATATCCACGTAGTAATTCTGTTCTGCACTTCTACAGTGACAACAGCTTTTGGTTGCCTAAAAACTGTTACCGTGTAAAAGGCAAAGGTCTGTTGGATGCTAGCATTGAATCAGACAGCTAATTTTGTTCTGAACGCCTGTTAAGTACCTTCAGTGTTACCTGGGTGACAGATCTCATACATGGTAAATAGTCTGTTTAAACATGTAAGTGAACTGTTGAACACCTGAAAATCTCAATGTTTAGACTTGGCACTTACCCCTTCTGTTTTAAAGTGGATTCAGAAAATGAAATGAAATGGGTTTGCAAGTTAAGCTTGCAAACTTGGCTATATCTTCCTTTGACCACAGAGAAGTATCAATTCTTTTGCTTTATCTTTCTAGATTATTTCACGTAAATTTCCAGGAGGTGAAGGGATTCTGATGTTCCTCAAATGGTTAAAGTGACATTGCTTATTTCCCTACCAGGGTTTCTTTGTTTTAGGCTTTTCCACATGTTGTAAATGTGCTATTATGCCTGAGTCTCACAGGATTAATACAACATTTATATAGTGCCTCCATCATCAGAAACATTGTTTCTGTTTGTATAGCCAGTTTCTTTGCTCTGAGTTTTGCTTTTTTCTTTTTTTTTTTTTTTCAACTGTCTCATTACAGTACACCGGTTGTGCACCCCAGTTTAATTGAGTGCATGCTCTGGTGCAGTGTCTTAAGGGTGACCTCAACGGTGTCAGAGCAGAGTGAATTCCTCAACGGATGCTAAGTGGGACGCTCAGGTGCTCTGTAGATCCCAGTTGGTACAAAAGCAGATCATATTGTTGCTAGAGTTTAGGATTAGAATAGAAGATTAAGTGCATCTGCTGTCCTTTGAAAGGCAGAAATTAGTTCTTTGAGGATGGAAGTATTATTGGCGCAGTTGTAGGCCATATAAAAATGGAAAGGCAAGTCTTTCATTTTAGCTTAAAAGCCATTTTAAAAAGCAAGCTCTTTTCTCCATAGCTTCCTGACTGCTAGTCTGAAGATGTGGAAACTTGGAAGTTGTTTCAAGAGGAGAATGTACTCCTTATTGCACAGCTTTTAGCAATCTGCCAAAGTATTTGTAAAGATCCCTACTGTTTTTAACTGCGTCTTAAGTGTTGTCTTTATTCTTCAGCTTTTACTCTTAAAAGCAATCAGCAATGTATAAGTAGAATTACATGAACAGAACATTTTGATTTGTTTCTATCACACCCTGTTAACTATATTTGTCTTTTCTTTCCAGGGTGTAATTACTCTGGAGTCCCTTGGTAAAAGGGGTTATCGGGTACCGCCTTCAGGAACGATACAAGTGGTACGTACGCAGCAGATATGGGTGCTTTAAATCACTGATACCAAGAAATTAATGCAAATATTATTTATTACTGATGAACACAAAGGTAACAGTGGAAAAAAAATGAATTTCTATAGAAGCTTGTAGTATTTTAATTATTCAAAGTATACATTGGTGTAATTTGTGATTCCAAACACTTGAGCCCATCCATGCTGTGAAGAGGTTTCAAATAAGTTAATTAAAGTTTGGGCTATTTGTTGACACCCCTTTGCTGTAGAAGTAATGAAGTAATTTGCTAATCCAAATTCTGAAATCCTTCAAAAAGCAACTTGCAGGTTGTCTCCATACTGTTCAGATTGTTCCATACTGTCTTACATAAATTCTGTAACATTTTAAAAGCCACCTGCTTTTTGTAATAAAATCAGAAAGTGTATCACAGCCACTGCTTAGAGCCAGTGGTCTGTCTCTTTTAAGAATCCAGTCCAAGGTGACACATTGCTAATGTCAAGCTTAAAAGTGGAGCCTGCACATGTGCTTCCTGCAAGCATAGTGTATCTCCAGAATAGTGCAGACAAAAGTCTGACTAGAAAAATAAAATAAAAACGGGGAATGTAGATTAGCAAAGTAATAATAGTCCTGATAGTGTTTCAGATCAGGTAATGATTACTGTTATATTAAAAAAAATAAATAAAAAAATTCTAGTAGCTTAAGTGTTAAAGTGAACTGAAAAGCTGCACATTTTTCCCACAAACGTTCCTGTATGATACAGGAACAAAATGCATAGAGGATGGTGAGTATTTTGGCAGGTAATATTTTTTTTCCATTTTTCATCTCTAAAGAGTTGTATTGAACCTTCTTTTTTTTTTCCCCAGACCTTATTTAACCCTAACAAAACTGTGGTGAAGATGTTTGTGGTGATCTATGACTTGAGAGAGATGCCAGCTAATCATCAAACATTCCTACGGCAAAGAACTTTCTCTGTTCCTGTGAGACGAGAAATCAAGCGGACTGTCAATAAAGAAAATAGTCAACAGACTGAAGAAAGGCTACTTCGCTACCTCATACATCTGAGGTAAGCTTCTTGGAGTTAAAAATAAAAAATGTAAAAATAAATCCAAATATCTACCAAAATTTATCCCTCTTGATTCCTTTGCCAGCCTGCCTTTCTTTTTACATGTTTATGTTAAAAAAAAAAAAAAAGCTCTTAATTTGGTATTCAAGGTAGATGATAGAAGAAGGAAAGCTAGTAAATAAATTGGAAATAAATTGGATCCTGCTTGGGAGGAACAAAATTAAAATAAAGCTCTTTCTTAACATTTGTATGGCCTTGTAATTACTTGTTTTCGTATGAACAGAGATTTATTCTGGCTGGAGCAGTGTATCTTTTTGATGTTAAAAGAAATAGCGAGTGAACCTGTTACACAATAGAAGCCAAAAAAGGATCAGTGTAGAGAAAGTGGCCAGTGTGCACACGTGCCCATTCAGCAGAACAGGTTCTAACATGACAAGCATTTGGAATTACTACTAAAAATGAAGCGCAGTGTTTACTGGTAAAATGTAAATATCTGTTTGGTGATGCGGTACCACTGACGTGCCTTTCACTTTATAAAATATTCACACAATCTTCTTTGAATGATTTACAAAGCACTGCCTGAAACCAGATGCTGTGCTACTGTTCTTTGGATGTTCTGAAGACTGCAACTTGAAGCAAAGGAGCAATGCTGGCTGTACTTTGTCCTTTGGCAGCTTGCAAACTTTTGCCAGCATTATTGCACTAAACGAACCGCATCCATGCAGTCCCAGTGATTTCATTGCAGCACTTCAAAACCTGATGACTGCTGACATTTTAGAGCTAGCAAACCAAACAGTCAAATATCTGACTTGTTGTGGAATTACTTCTGATGCTTATTGCCCCTATTTAGAGGCATTGACTTCTACCCAGCAGACTTTCAAAACACAGCTTTGTCTTTGACTGATTCCAGACCAACACTTTTCATTAAATGAAAGTTGACAGTCAAAAAATGTGTGTTGGCTTACTGGAGTGGGAACACAGTGTCACGATGAGGATGCTGAACTGTTTTCGCCCTGAATTTTAGTCCGGTTTGAAATTTGTCCTTTCAGGTCACACTAACTTGCTGTGTCTGACTTAACCACCTTATAAATTTTTTCTTCTAGGGTAAATTGTGAAAAAGAGCATGTAGCCTAGATAAAAGGCTCTATTCACTTGTAATGTTGTTTTTAAAATCTTTCATTTTTAAAAGCAGCAAAGTTCCCTGAAACCCATTTTACTGAAAATTTGCTATACAAAACAATAACAATAGTGTTTTTTATTTTTGTTACTCAGGTTAGCTTAAAACAGCCTTTCAGTTTTAGTTGCAGTTGTTGTAAGCTTAAGATGCTTGTTTCCATGTTGAAATTTTTGCTTAAACAGCAACAAAAAGAAGTCACAAACGGTAAGCTGCGTTGTGGCGGCATCTGCTTGTGAGGCCTTAATTACAGTTGTCAGCACTCGCATTATGAAAGCTTTTTTTTTTTTTCAAGTGGTAATTCAGCAAAAATGCTTGCATAGGTCTGGAACTTAACGTTGGCAGCCAGATTTTCTAAAGCACTCTTTCAAGTGTCAGATACAGTGTGTGTGCAGCTTTTCCTAGCATAGTTTTGTCTGTCTGAGGGTTGCTCGGTGTGCCGTTAGCCTGTGTCTGTACGGGTGCGGCACTGACATCAAACGTAGCTTGCTTGGCCAGCACAGATTTCTTCACTGCACAGAAATTGGGAGTTGCATCCGCAGTTTAAGAAATCTCTTGAAGGTACTTTGGAAATACATTTTGTGTTGTTGCATGTCAAGCAAAGGTTTTTTGTTCTGTAATTAAATCTGCGTTAACGTAGGAGCCGGGAGTCCAGCTCTGCTCACACGTCGCTTCTGCCCTGTCCTGTAACGGTGACGACCATCAGTTGGTTTCTGGGGTGTGTTCTGGCACCCCTGCAATGAAGCAGTTGACCTGCCCACAGCTCAGCATTTTCAAAGTTTTTACAGCTGGTCAACAGTTCTGGTTACTGACATGTTGCCTCTTTTAATTCTATGGAGCGTAATTGCTGTTGCTTCATGGCTAACAGTGGCCAGTTCTTCATTAGCCAGATGTTCCTGAAGGCGAGGTGGAGGGGACGCTTCAAACCAGTTGCTCAGTAGTGCTTCCTCAGGGTGGTGACACTTTTTTGCAATATTTTTGTGATGTGGTGTATGACACGTTTACCAGTGGAAGCTGGAGGTATCTGTCACTAATTTGCTAGCTGCTTTTTGATCTTTCTGACCTCTAAGCGTTTTTCCTGATCTAGCAATCCGTGGTGTTGTCCTACGGATTTTTATTTATGGATTTACTTAGATTTTAATGATTTTTGTTGTATTGTCTTTTCTCCTTGCAGAAGGAAAGGTCTTAGGGTAACCATAAAAACATACTGCTGCAGCCTGTTTCTTGGGTTTACTTTGTTCTTCATGAATTTATTCTTTGTAATGGCCATAATATACGTAAAGGCTTTTGTGCTTGTGTTTGTCATTTCTCCAGTAATGTTCATCACTTAAAGTTTCTTTCCTCTGCCAGGCTTTCTAGCTCATCTGTTACTGTGTTTTTAAGTCTTCCTCTATTTGTCTACTGGTGCTGTTCCTAGGACACCATCTGTCCGAGGAAACACATCTCATGTGTTTTTCTTGGTTTTCTTACACAAAACTACTGGAACTGCCCCAGCTCTGGAGCCAGTCCTGCGCTGGCCACTCCACCAACACCCGCAAGAGTGTATGTAATTGTCTCCTGATTATTCCAATGTATTTACACATATGAAAAACAAGTTACAAATCCCAGTTACTATGGTAAATATTCCTTTAAATTAAAAAAAAAAAAGCAATGGAAGCAGAAACTAGAGGAATCCCCAAACTCTGTTACTGTCTCCCACTTGGTCTCTTCCAGTCCTTGTGAAATGGCATGCTCAGATGAGGCAGATTACAGGGAAGGATTATTTACTGGGCAAAGGAAGTCTTGCAGGATTCTCACTGCTAGAAAATAAAGAGCTTGAAGTTAAAATAAAAATAATAATTAAAAAATAAATTGATAGATCCATGTGTGTAAAGGGGATAATTCAGGTCAACTTTACGATGGTGCTTTGCTAACTAGATCTAGCTATAATGTGACCAATGTAATCAATCATACTTCAGCTTCAAAAGGTGTTTCAGTACCATTTTTATTTAAAAATGTGTTATGAGCTGTGTGCAGACTTAACTTTTTTTTTTAGGTATTCAGTTTGTTATTCACCTCTTTTACTCTTTCTTCACGTGCCTTCCTTCAGAGTCTCCCCCTTAGACAGAAACTACTTTGGCTGCCAGGTGAAGGGCTTCCCCATTGACAACACCATGCACCATGATGGATAGGAGCTCCTTGTGGGCCAGCAGGAGCATTCTGCTAGACCCCCCCCTACATTTCATGCCCTTGACAGAGAATTTCCTCTCTCTAGCTGTGGGATGGCTACGGGCTATTCTGCTCCACTGCTCTGAACGAAGCTGTGGCTGGCACACAATCCAATTCTGCAGCCTGCCTGCCTCCAGACAGCTCAAGCCTGCTGGATCTTGTGTTGTCTTTCTTGTGCCTCCCAGAATTTCAATCTGATTATGTCTGTGTATATTACAGAGACTCCTTTTGCTTCGGTGCACTCAATGAATAAATGCTTATTAAAAAATCTGTCCAAATTGTAGTACCCATAATAATACAGTGTGTACTTTGATGTGAGCAGTGTGCTCTCGGCATTTATAGTGGTGTCATTTTGTCCTTACAGTAGAAAAAGCTCTCATTTCTAACACAGTAGCAGTAGCTTTTCTCCCCTACCATGACATGCTGATAATGATGCTCATTGGCCATAAGAGAGAGTCCTTGAGATCCCCTGCCCTTCCTGGGTGGGGAAAGGGAATTAAGTTCTGCCAGGTGCAGACTCAGAACACAGTTCTCTGAAACGCAAATTGTGTCTCTCAGCTGTTAAATCTCAGTGAAAGTGAACTGGCACGTTTCTGGCAGGTTTGAAGGCTGTTCAGCTACAGCATCAGAAATAAATGAGCCCAGAAACTGGCCACTGTTTCCTTTGGTGATTGGGCCAGTAAACTCAACTCTTTGAAACGGCTCCGTGTTCCTTGCAAAAACCCTCTTTGTCAGCTTGCTTGCAGAGATCCCCGTACCTACTGCTGCTTAGGTTAGAGTTAAACTTGGCATGTTGTATAAAGCATTGGTAAACTTCTTGCTTTAAGTTTCAGAGAGCAATGAGATCTGTATGATTGACATGTGTATTTGATATGCATATCAAGGCCACCCTTTGGGCGTTTTTAGGAGTGCTCGCTTAAGAGCACTTCTTGGCTTTCTAGATGCCTGAGAACTTTAATCTCTGACGGTACGTAAATGCAGCATGAACTTCAAAGATCCCATGCCACTTTCAAAGCTATATTCTGTATTTGTGGTGAGGAACAGAACCTTCAAATGCCAGAGAAAATGAACTAGATAGAAAACGTTTAGAAAACGTTACTCTTTTTTCTTTAATTTTGTGGTCAAATGTTTTTTGGCCTTAATTTCTGAAAGGAATGCATTTAATTCAATAGTATTAAAGGTTATTCTCTCTTTTTTTTTTTCTGTTATATATAATACAGATATTCATATTTTTTTCAGGTTCCAGAGTTCTAAATCTGGAAAGATCTACCTCCACAGAGATGTAAGGCTCCTATTCTCTCGGAAGTCCATGGAAGTTGATAGCGGCGCTGCATACGAACTCAAATCTTACACTGAATCTCCAACAAATCCTCAGTTTTCACCAAGATGTTAGCAAACAATGGCAAACTAAAGTATTCATTGTACTGTTGATTACTCCTTACAAGGGAAGATCGGTAAAGTTGACAGTATAAAATTAAATCTGTAAAGGAATGAAAATAGCGCTCGAGAGAGAAGGTTCTTATGTGATCCTGGACCAGTTTTGTAAAAGGTCTCTGGAATGAGCTTTGTGTATTCCAAGTAGACTGGAAACGTACTTAAATCTAATCTTTTTGTACTGTTTAAAACCACTTCATTGGATGTGTTGCAATAGCAAATTCCCAAGTTAGTTTAGTGTTTACACTTTTTATTTTATTTTTCAGTTATTTAATATTTAATGTTTCATTTAATACTCAAGTGATGTTTGTCTTTAGTGTTCTAATGTAGCATAAATCCTATGTAAAATCATACTATGTATTTTTGGCATTAATATTGAAATCTGAAATATATACAGATGTCTTTAATCTGTGTGATGTTTTTAAGTGATATTCATTTAAGTTATTGAAAATGGGGACAGCAGTTGAATTTCCGTAACATTTCATACTATGCAAGCATTCAGCTTTTTTCTTTTGTTTCTTTGATGGTACCCTTTTTTCTTTTTTCCCCTCACATACAGATTTAACACCACTTGCAGCCATAGCGCAGAATGTTTGTTTTCTTACTCATGCATTCAGATCATTGATTCAATTCATATTTGGCTCCCTCCATTTTTTTCTTTCCTAAAGGGCCACTTTAATACTGCTTTTTGTTAGTTTCACATAATTCCCCCCCCCACATCTGATTTCCGATTGTGCTAAAGGATGTACTGTGCAAACGAATTAGCATTTATATCTTAAATATATGCAAAAGCTATGGAACATGTACTTTTTGTTTTATTTTTAGATAAGGAGGATCTTCATGTAATCCGAAATATTTTTAATAGATCAATTCCATTTAGGCCACTAGGTGGCTATATGAAGTTTTACTAGAGATGCTACATTGGGAATATAAATGCTTTCCAATACGTGTATTCCTAAAACAAATCACAGTCAGATAAACAGTTTATGCTACGTGTTAAACTGTGTAACTGAGAGAAATAAAGCTAGAAGCGTTTGATTATATTTGAGGTATATATTTAATAATGAAAATGAAGCTTCACGATGCTTGCCGAAGATCTGGGTTTCTCTGCTGTCTTGTCTTGGTTCATGTTTTTCTTTACATCGCTGTTTTCATAGTGTCAGTACTATGAAGGGTGACCTTCACATGTGGGAGTATGACACCCTTATCTCATGAAGAATGGAGGAAGAATGAGCGTGCACGTTGTGTATTCAACACTGCCCTTAGCTGGGATGAGAAGCCACTGCTTTGTGAAGTCCCCAGGAAGCCTGCCAGGGACAGGGAGGGAGACCAGACTTTCCAGATGATACGCATCCAGCTGTCTTGTATATTCAAGTGGCTGTTGCTACAGAAGGGCAAAGCCCAAATATTATTGAATCCATTTCCAACTGCAGTATTTTTCCCTCTGCTACGCTGGGTTTTTGAAAGGTTTGCTTTTGTATGACGGAGACTTGGGGAAAACCATGCAGGAGATTGATTGTGGTTTCTAGTTGTGTGTCCTGAAAAGGTTTCTTTTGGTAACAGATGAGTTAAATACAACTGCAGCTGTATGCGTACGTAACTAGGACCTAGACTAGGATAATGAAAATGTGTCCCAGTTTCTCTGTGCTCAGTCATAAGCAAGCAGCATGTACCCTTAGAGTACTTGTTTGTGTCACGGGGCACATCTGCTCGCATACTTGACGAAATGACACTTAATGAGGAGTCATAAATCACCCTCAGTAAATTAGCCTTACCTTTTGGCACTGGCAGTACGCAATGTTTGTACGCCTGGATCTCCAAGTGACTCCAAGCCACCCTGTGCTCCTCGGAGTGCTATTGATTTGTCCTGAGGGGCGGGGGGGGGGTTGGGGTATGTGGTCACTGCACATCACCTCCAGGAAATTATTTGTATTGACTTACACAGTCAAACCATACTTGGTCCCTATTTGGGTGCTGTTAGAAATGAACAGGACCTTCGGTTCTCCACATACAGCTTCTCAGCCCTTTCCCCGTCAGGCTTTGACCTGTGCTGCCCGTTCCACACGGGACACAGGCGGGTGAATGCGAAACGCGCCCAGCCCGCCATGGCTGCTCTGCCTTCCTTCAGAGGGGCTGGGCTCATTTTTAGGCAGCCCTTTGCCGCCTGTCCTTACCCCTGCCCATGCCCCGCGTTGTGGGGCTGCCAAACGGCCCCGAGCCGCCCGCGGGGAGGGAAGGGGAGGGGAGGGGGGGGGCTCGGGGCCGTGACGTCAGCGGGGGGGGGGGGCCGGAAGGCCGCAGCGCTCGGCGTGCGCGGCCGCGCGCGGAGGAAGTGTGGGCCCGGCCGCACGCCGTCCTGCCACCCGCCGCCATCTTGTGCGGGACGCGGCGGAGCCGAGCGGAGCGGAGCGGAGGGAGCTGCGCCGTGCCCGGTGCCTGCCGCCCGCCGCCATGTCCGCAGAGAGCCCCGAGCCCGCCTCGGCCGAGGAGCAGAAGGTGGGGGGGGGGGCGCCGAGGAGCGGCGGGAGCGGGGAGGGGGCCGCGGGGGTCCGGGGGGGGCGGCCGCGGTGAGGCGGGGGCGCGGGGCGGTTGCGCTGCCGCCCCCCCCCCCCCTCACCCCCGCACCCCTCCGGGCCGGGGGGGGCGCGGGGCCGGGCCCGGGGAACGCCCGGGGGCCGCGTCGGGGCCCTCCGGTGCCGCCCCCGAGGCCGCGTCGCAGGCGGCTCCGAGCGGCTGCGGCCTGGCGGGGCCCGCGGGCCCGTCCCGGCAGGGCGGGGAGAGGCCGGGGGGCGCTGAGGAGGGCTCCGGGAGGCGCGGCCCGGCCGGGCGGCCCCGGGCTCCTGTTTAACGATTCCCCGCTCGGCCCGGGGAGCGGCCGCGCGCCTCGGGAGGCAGAGCGGGGAGGCAGAGCGGTGCCGCGGCCATAGGGGCGGGAGGCGGAACCGGCCCCCGCGGTGCCGTTTGCCCCGAAACGCGGGCGCTGCGCGGCCGTGCCAGGGAGGCCGCCGAGAGAAATGAACCCCCGGGCTGTGCGGGGTGCCCGCGGTAGCTCGGTAAGAGCACGGCGAGGCGGGTGGCAGCGGGCTCTTCGCGGGGCCTCCCAGCGCCTTGGCACGGCGGCAGCTGAGTGCGGCCCGGGCCCTCTGAGGGGCTGCAGCGCCGGGCTGGACACCGGGCTCGTGGGGGTGCGGGGGCCGGCTGGGCTGCAGAGCAGAGCTTGGCGTAGGCAGGCACTCTAGACAAGGGAAAGTAAATAAAATGGAACTTTGCTTTCTTCACTCTTGCATCCTGTGATAATAGAGTGACGGATTCGTGCTACAGCATTGCAATATCAAACTTCTTTAAAAATGTCTGTCTGGATAAACAAAATGAAGGTCGGTTCAGTTAATGCTTAGCTCTGAGGTACTTGTTTGACCAACCCGTTTTGCAGTACTTAGTCGTTTGTAAGCCTAAAAAAGATGAAGCCCCTAAGGGAGCTTTGAGGCAGCAGTTCCGTGGCAAGACGTCTGATATAAACTTGTTAGCACAGTGCGGGAAGCTTGTGCATGTGCTCAATGAGAAGGGTGTTAAACAAGAAAACGATAGAAATTGAGAACTTTCCATGAGTCCAGTGTTTCCTGTTCCCAATGGGAAAACTCTGGGTAGTGGCAGGAGGAAGTTCAGCAACAAAGAAACCTTTGGGTGATGTAGAGCATGTGCCTGGTTGATGGATGCTGCTTTTGCTGTAGAAGTCCGTGTTTTTCAGGAGGCTCTTAGTGCTGCGTCTTGTTTTGGGACTGGCTTTTGCCGCATCAGTTGTCTGGGGAATTGTGCCGTTGTCATGTTTCTCCTATTTTCTACTTCACATTTTTGTCTGATGTCTTTCCTTAGAAGAGGATAAGCTCTTCATAACACAGCTCGAGAAGGCTTCTTTTTAGCCGTGCGGTTGAGCTGTCCAACAGATAGAGAACCTCATGCTTTCAGTAGCCCCATAAAAATTAAAAGCAAGAGCTATCTTTAAATGTGTTAGGTAACTACTGGCTATGCTGGTAAACCCTTTTAATGAAGTAAGCAGACTTCATTAGCTGTGCAAAAATTCCTGTAGAGAACTAAAATTACAACTTGTGTGGTTGTCACCAGGAAGAAGTGCGTGGTATATCTTGATATTTTTTTTTTTTTTCCTTCATCAGTTGTCAGTTGTCAGGCTGCTGCTTCTATAATAACTGCGGGGAAGACAACTGCTAATGCATGAATGGCTTTGCAGGTTTGGGTTAAAGCCTTCGTGTCTCAGCGACACGGCCCTGAGAGTGCTCCCTGCTCTCTGGTGCACAGAAGAATACAAGGTCAGAGTAAGCACACAGTGATCTTCCCCAGAAAACTTTCCCAGGGCTCCTCAATGCATGGCATAAAAGCCTTCTGAGCTGCAAATGGACGCATCCGACGGCTTTCTGAATCCATCTAAATTCTTGGCATCCCCTGTATCCTTTGGCAAGGAGTTCTGTAGCTTAGCTGTGTTACATGAAGAGCTGTTCGCTTAAGTATTTTGGAACCTGTCGTCAGCTGGTTTTGTTTGACAGCCCAAGTCTCCATGTTGAAGCTATTCTTTATTTCATGTTACCTAGGTGGTTTTTTTGGTCTTAGCTGTTCTTGGCCATCAAGAGTAGGTGACCAGAGCCTGAATCCTTTTTCTCTGCACTGAGGCACAACACAGTTTTGTGTTTTGGTCGCCTGCTGTGCGATGATTTGTCAACCCCGTGAGTTTGCATAAATGTTTTCTTTGAAGCACCATGAATACATATTTATGTAAGCTCTGTATTGTTGGCCCTCTGTTCTTAAAAAAAATATTTCCTTTTGGTTAGTATTGGCAAAACATGCCCCCTCAGATGCCTTGTCTGTTGGCTCAACAGTGAGTCCCCAGTGATTCAGCATTAGATGCTGAAAGAATGGCTTTTGAGAAGATCCAGAGACAGTGTTGGCATGATAATAAAACAGCGGCTGAAGACTGTTTGTTCCATTCGCACGGAGGCCGTGCTCTTGGCTTGTAGGGTTATTGTATGGCGAGGAGGTGTTCAGCGCTGCTTCTGTGTCCTGTGCTGCCAGGGAAGTTTTGCTTTTTGTGTGTGTTTTATATTTTGTATTTATCTGTGTTTTGTGTTGCATTGCCTGGCTATGTTTTCATCTAACTACAAATAAAAAGCATTGCTTCTATCTAGACCCCACAGAAGTTTCTCGTAGGCTGCCCTCAATTTCTGCCTGCCCCTGGTAGGGCTGGCCATGGCGATTCCCACTGTGCTGGGAGCAGCTGTCTTCCAGAGGTCTTGGGGTAATAGAGCAATTGGAAATGTTGTGTTCTGAGTTTGTTGTTACAAGCTTTGCTTCCAAGGTTTCTTGCCAGAAGGGTGCCGATCATTATAGAACTTGGAGCTTTTGTAAGAGGTGTCAGAGGCCTTGTGAACTGGGGCAGGCCAGCGCAGGGGTTCAGCTCCTCAGCACTTGTGCCTGAAGTAGCTCTCGGCTGCTCTTGATCCGTTGTGCTCCTGCTGCCGTGTTACCGGACCTGTTGGTGCAGCTGCTTGGTGATCCAGACACGGGAAACTGACCCCAAAGAAATAAAGCCCAGCAAGAAAAAAATGGGTAGTTATTTTTGCATTGAATTAATTTCTGTAACCCACTGACGTGGAGTACACTCAAGCGAACTGACGCAACGCAAAGGTTGGTGGTGCAGGTGGAAGAGGAGTGTGAAGGGGCTGCCTAAGCAGCTCGAAGTGAGTACGAATCCTTAGTCACAGATGGACGTGAGGCTCTCGTGGCTTCAATGGCAATTCTTCTTTCCTGACTAAAAGTCTTTCTGTGACTTCAGATGATAATTACTGTTGAAGAACCACAGCAGTCAGCACAAATCAATATGAGTTTTCCCTGAACTAGCCATGGTTTGCATGCAGAAATGATCTTGGCCAAACACCGGAAGGCAGTGAAACAAGGAGTTTGAATGGAAGGTATTTTAGAAATGACTGAGTAAAAAACTTGTACCTCATGCATCAAATCACTGCACGAACCAGAGCAG